CTAATGAATCCTTAATCGCCAGCAAATGAACTTGGCTAACCCGCATTACAAAACAGATGTCTAGTCAGTTTGCATTAACTTTATTTGCACAAAACAGGGCAAATGCACTGTCTAATTAACTTACGTGGAGTTCAGAAGTGCTTTTGCAGAATTCCTCGTAGTCAACATCAAAGTCACTTCTCCTCTGGTCTAGAAAACTGTAATGTTTTTTCTTCATGTTTAACACAATAGCCTAACAAAAAAATATCCAGACATTTGCAAAAACACACATTTTAGAAAACATTTTTAGCTCTAAATAAAATGCACTGTTTTCTTCTGAAGGTATTATTATTAAATGCATACGTTTTGGAACTTGTAGTGTATTAGTCTAGTAGAAATGTAACAGTGCAACTGTGTCTTACTGCAAGCTATGGATGTTCTGCAAAGCTAACTATCAAGTTATACCAAAACAAAGTTTTCAATCTCATCTTCTAGCTCAGTTTGGTTACTTCAAGCATGCATGTGAAACATTTTGTTAAGTTTTTATTCATTCAGGAAGTTTCACAAACTTTAGATAAACATTTTACAAGTGAAACATGAGAAGGAATTGCCTGTACACTAAAATGAACACCATTGCACACACTTTTCTTGTGTGAAAAAGTATTAATCTAAACAGGAAACTCAGACGCTCCCCATGAACTGGCGAAAGGTTTGGGATACAAGTTTATAGTATTAACAAATGGTCATCGCAGGGCTGAGTTTAGAAAGTATTACTATGGCCCTAATAATGCAAAAAAAAAAAAGAGGAAGTAAGGAGTTGGTTTTAATCTCCATGCAATTAGTAGCTATTTTGTTATTTAGGCATATATACGGCAAAACACTGCACAACAATATTTCACCGCTGCATGCTGTCTGCAAGAAAAATGGGTCATGCATTGCTAAAAGTTGAAAACTGCAGTGAGACGTTACCTCCCATTTTCCTTGCATTTCTGCAGTCTGCATAGCCCAAGAAGCAAGGACACAAACACATGGTTCACATCAACAGAAGTATTATGTACTAAAACCTTAAGCATCACAGTTTGATGATGTAAAAAATTTAATTGTTTGCACAACAGGAAACCACAGAAAAAGATCAGCAGCCTGCCACTGGCATTGTAAGTGTGCAGCCTGAAATTCTGTTCTACCATACAGAGAAACTTTCCATTTACCATAATGACAACACACTCAACATCTGAAGATGCCAGGAGAAATACAGACACGGCTGCCTGGCAGTGACATTTAATCAGTTAATGCAATGCCTCCCTGCACATGTCTTATTAACAGGATTTGACAACAGTCTGATATCACACTATACTCACTTGAAACCTGGTGGCCATCGTCTCCAGCCCTTCTATCTTCGAGTCCTTTAGAACGGAGTAGGTGGAAATGGTGGCGAACATTTCGAGGATCTTGTTCAGTCTTCGCTGGAATGTGTCGAACTTTCCAAAGATGTACATCTCGCTGAAGTCAAACTGTCTTTCTGAAGGAGTCTGCTCCAGCTTCTCCTTGGTTTTGTGGAAACATCGCTGGTATTCCTGGGAAACACATTATGATACAGAACCACATTTGGACTGATAAAAAACTGACAGAGGTGCATTTTGCTTCAAAACACATTTTGTTTTCCTTTCAAAATGATCCATTACCTGGTTTAGGTGAATGGCAGCTTTGATTTTCTCAGTAATGACTTGCTGAGGTTGGTCCCATATTGAGTTTGCGCCGTTATCAGTGACATAGGCCTTACAAGCTGTGATCATCTGGTTTGTCACCTGGAGATGAGGATAAAAAAATGGAAACTATAAATCATATAAATCATCATGTAAATTTGTACTTTTTTGTTGTCTTAATGTAAAAGTATCCTAAAAATGCTTCAGTATCAATCATTCATAAAAAAAGGTAGGATCCCATTGTTCATCATAACAAAAGCCTGTTGATCTGCACAATACCTTTACAAAAAGTGATGTAATCTTTTCAGATGTGTTGTAGTAGCGGGAAATACTGTGAATCATCCTGATGGCATTGATCAGACCTGGGATTGCATCCACCATTGATACCTTGGATGAAAGAGAAATTATAGCTTGTATTTCTTTGTACATCCAAATATAACACACATCCAGCACATTTGTACTTCCTCGCCATGAATGCAGTTGATTTGGTTTATTTTTTTAAAATGCACCAGAGTGTGACAAAATATTCTTTTCTCACAGGGTCACTGTTGTAGAGTGGGTCGCAAAACTTCTCCAAGCTGTAGAGATACTTGACGTTGTCTTTGGCCTCATTAACTCCATCTGTGATCCTTGCATCCAGTTCCCGCCATGACTAGACCATAACAGACCGTTACTTAATTAAGGTGTGCACCGTTCTCAAAAAAAACAAACATAATCGTACAATAAACCACTGAAATAAAAGAGAGAGCAGCAATATCAAAGAAAGAGAGCATGTGGTGCAGCCACTTAAAATCAGCGGTATATGACAGTCACATCTGACCTTTATGAGCTTAGATTTAGCCAGCAAGAGCACACCCAGAGCAGCCTTGACATCAGGGCTCTTCAGCTGGTCCAGAAGGTAGTTGAAGCGAGTCATCCGTTTCTTCCAGTGCTCCAGCTCGGCCCGAGGGCCAAGATCATCAGCCTCCTTTCTAAGCTGGTCACTCTCGGCTAAAACCTGCAGAATAGAGATATTTGATATCGCTGCTGAAACTTTAGGCCTGCAGTTTATCCTTCATCTGATACAAGCACATTCAAATAAAATGGCAGAAAACTTGGAATAAATGAATGAGAATACTTTTTCTGTATCAGGTTTGAGGAGAAACACGATGAGAGTCCCTTCTCACCTGCTCTATTTGTTTGATCCAGACTTTCATGCAGGCCTCTATCTTCTCTATGGTCTCTGTGCTGCTGGCAGCTGCCACGTAGTCAGACGGGCCCTTCAGTACCCTCAAGTCAAAGGTGTCGCACTCTTTCAAGGTAACCTGAAAGCAAAGTTGTGCTGTGTTGCTTTATTTGCTACTATAATGTAAGTGTATGTAATGTTTAAACTGTGTTTATTTATCTATGTTAATCTAACCTACTATGTATTTTATATTTAACTT